GCGCCTATTCTCAGATACACCCGGTATATATAAATTTTCGCTAGATTTTTAGATAAAGCCTTATCAAGGGCCATAAATAAAAAATTTTCAATATTTTTTCTAGTAAAACCAGTCACCCATTTATTATTTAAGACTTATTTTTCAACAAAACAGAGCATAAATCCCTGTGCTATTAGAATTGATATTTCCAAATATATATAATCCAAAAGGATATTGGACTGCTGGGAATCTGGGAATCCCATATATTTTAAATTGAATTATTCCGGTTAAAAATTACTATAAGCTTTCTTTATAATAAAATTTTAATTTTTCCGCTTTAAACACGCCCCAACCAATATAATAACCAGAAACTACCCAAAGGCACGTTTTGCTGCTTATGCAAAAACATTAACAAGATTTAAGCCCATGTAAAGGTTATAAAAAGCAGCTGAGTAGAAATTTGCCAAGTGAGCCCATGATTTTCGACGTTGTAATGAAAATTAAAAATAAATATTAAATCATAATCTACTAAGTAGTAGAAAGTTATCACATAAAATTTTTTGAAAAAACTTTATTCGTTTCTTTACAATGTGTGATTTAAAAAAATTGTAGCATTTGATTTAAAAATTAGTTTCTTGTAAACTATTTATAAAAAATTAATGAAAATTTGTGAGAATGGTAAAAAATAAATGCAGTTAACAATAAAATTTTCAAAAACGTGCTATTATTTTTTTTGGCAACTTTTTTATTCTTTTTTAATATAAAAATGGCAATTTGGCCTTGTTCTCCCTCAGAAAATTGAAAAAAATAATAGGTAAAAAAAGCTCTGAAACCTAAAGATTAAGGAACCGTTTCAACATTTTTGTGATCGCCCCCTGAGTCAAAGATAAATAATATTGTTCAGCGCTGCGCCACGTTAACAGGCGACTCTTTAAGAGGCAAGTTAACAGGCGCATCTTTGCGTACTAAATATTTAATCAAATGCCGTGCCCCAACGATCTTTCTTGAATTTTATGTTTTTGCATCAAGTAACTATTGACAGAAAAAACTTTATAAAAAAAATGGATTATACCCTTTTTCTTTCAAGTTCCTCCAATTTTTTCCATACAAAATTGACATAATTTTAGGTTTAAATAAAATAATTGCAATTTATTTTAAGAATTATTCTACTGGCTGTAATTTTAACCATAAAAAAGGTACGGTATATTTACTATAATATCGTTTATAATTAACATAAACATTTAAAATAACAATTGCCAATTTATTTTTATAAGACGCAGGATGAAAATAAAAAAAGAATAAAGTAGATTTATTACTTTAAAAAATTGCAAAATTAACAATAGTGAACACATTAGAATAAATATAAACATACCTAACATACCTAACTAAGCCTCCTATTTTCCCGTAATTACATTTTTAACAAAAACTGTGTCATTCGAGAAAAGTCTACACAAAATATTTGTATCATCTATAGGTTCATAGCAATGGTATTGTCTGGTATTTTTTATTGTTCTCGCTTTTTCAAAGCGCGCCTTTAACGAACTCTCGTGACGTTTATGTTCATTTTGAGAGCAAAAATTAAAATATATTTTTGAAAAATTCTTTTCAGCCCATTGGAAAAGACTTCGAGGATTAGTAATGTAGTTATCATCTATTCTTTGCAAACTAGCTCGATAGGCTTGTCTTTTCACAGCCCCTCCAATACCATCACAAGCCCCTTTTCCGTGGGAGGTCGCAAAAAAATTCCACTGAGCAGTGATCCCAAAATCTTCTTGATGTTTTAAAAGATTTATAAAATTAAATTTATTTTTATACTGCGACGCGGCTCCATCCGAAAAGTAAAAGATTTTTTTTATATTTTTATCCCCAAATTTTTTTTTCAAGTACTCAATAACTCTTGAATTAAATAAATGAACCGACCATGCATCGTGAGTCAATTTTTCAGAAATAATGACGAAGCTATCGTGCTTTTGCACTCCGTTATGGCGATAATAAATTACATACGGATGGAGAGTAGCCTGAGTATTGGACCAATGATGGGCCTGAATGGCATTTTGCACATGAAATGTGTAATTTTCTGCAAAATCCATGCTTATAACGAATTCCCCTTCCTTAACGTTATTCTTAATTTGGCTAAAATACGAAGCTTGAGACACTGCAAGAAAATTGTGTCTCATTAAGATCGGTAAGTCGTTGGCTAAATTACACAAAAACTCGTCTCTGCTTTCAGTCTTTTGTGAAATTTCGCACCTGTAATGTAAATAAACACAAATTTTAAAATAAATAAAAAAACTTAAATCATTTTATTTTAAAATACCTGTCGGTGTTCGCCCACTGACTGAATTTTACTTCCTTCACATAATTTTCTTCGAGGATAATTTTTAGTTTTTTAATAACACACTCAGTTTTTGGACACTCTTCACAGATAGAAAAAAAGCAATTTGATGATGGATTCTCACAGACTGAATTTTTTATTAAATCTTGATATGTGTCGGTGAAATTAGCTCCTTTTATTTTCAGTTCTTGCATCAGGCCGCGTATTTTTAATTTCATATTTTGGTGAATTTTACACACGCAAACGTTGTGTGTACCGCTTTTACCAGCCAAAATACATTCTTGAGGTCTTAACTGCCTGAATTTTGCTAGACAAATCGGCATTTCAGGAAACTTCTCGTTAAACTGCTTATGCAAATCAATGAGATTGAAGAGAAGCAACCTTTTCTGCTTTTGGCTTCGTTTTCCATCTTTAACAATTGATATGTAATCTTTCATTCCAGGCATGACACGGCTGTTATCATCGGAGAGATAAAAAAGTTTCACTGCACTCACAGTCGTGTTTGAAAGCTTACGCCCTGCTTTTTTATTTGGTCGAGATCCATGCCCAGATTCTTTTCTTAATTTTTTTGCTTTTGATGCCATTCGGCGTGACACTTCGAATTCTTTTCCCATTTTTGCAATGGTCCAATGTTGCGGGATAGTTGTCAAAATTTGTATTTTTCCAGATCGGTTGGATTGCTGAGATAGAGCAGCTTTTATGTCACGAATGTACAAAGTTTCCAAGTCATTATCAACAGTACAGTTTTTTTCACCTAATAATTTACTACACATTTGATTTTCTTTGTGAGAAAGTTTTTTTGAAGGTTCTCCATATTGAAACGTTGGATCACCTTTTTCGTCTTGTTCAGGATCTGCAGAGTCACTTTCTTCGCCAACGATTTTATTTTGAGTTTTTCGGTTAGAAAGAAAGACTTTATACTTCGATTCACTTCTTTTCTCGTAAATCGATCGTCGACAAGAATTGCACATATGTAGTCCAACAAAAGTTTTTGAAAAGTATTTATTTTTTAGCATTATTGCATTCCATTTTTTTGTGACAAAATGAAGATTTTTTGTTACTTTTTTATGCTTACTTTTATTTAAAGGATTGCAGCATCTTTTTGCACGGCCCATCACGAAAACTATTTTAAAATTATTTAACCACAACTTTTAAATGTTATTGTTTCAATACATTTGGTTTAAATAAATAAATATTACCTACATATTTTAATAATAAGGTTTTTATTTTTATACCAATTGTAGAATTTGGTTTTTGTACAGGTCTGTTTTTATAGTGCACAAATTTGTTTACAAACAAATGGGATTTAAATATACATTATCGGACAAATTAAATACGGCAGTATTTTTTACCAAATGTTATAATTTTTTATGGTTAAAATTAAAGCCAGTAGAATAATTCTTAAAATAAATTGCAATTATTTTATTTAAACCTAAAATTATGTCAATTTTGTATGGAAAAAATTGGAGGAACTTGAAAGAAAAAGGGTATAATCCATTTTTTTTATAAAGTTTTTTCTGTCAATAGTTACTTGATGCAAAAACATAAAATTCAAGAAAGATCGTTGGGGCACGGCATTTGATTAAATATTTAGTACGCAAAGATGCGCCGTTAACTTGCCTCTTAAAGAGTCGCCTGTTAACGTGGCGCAGCGCTGAACAATATTATTTATCTTTGACTCGGGGGGCGATCACAAAAATGTTGAAACGGTTCCTTAATCTTTAGGTTTCAGAGCTTCTTTTACCTATTATTTTTTTCAATTTTCTGAGGGAGAACAAGGCCAAATTGCCATTTTTATATTAAAAAAGAATAAAAAAGTTGCCAAAAAAATTAATAGCACGTTTTAGAAAATTTTATTGTTAACTGCATTTATTTTTTACCATTCTCACAAATTTTCATTAATTTTTTATAAATAGTTTACAAGAAACTAATTTTTAAATCAAATGCTACAATTTTTTTTAATCACACATTGTAAAGAAACGAATGAAGTTTTTTCAAAAAATTTTATGTGATAACTTTCTACTACTTAGTAGATTATGATTTAATATTTATTTTTAATTTTCATTACAACGTCGAAAATCATGGGCTCACTTGGCAAATTTCTACTCAGCTTTGTGTTGATAAGGTTTGCGCGAAAAATAACAAGAAAAATAATTACACCAAATTCCAGCATATTTAATTAAGGGACGTAACGATTTAAGCAGACATTTATTGTCATTAACAAGCAAAATTTTATCACGGCAAATTAAACCGCATGCTGGGGTTGTAATATAATTTTTACCATATTTTATACCTTCCCGATCGTAAAACAGCGTTATTATAGACATTAAAGCATCAGATGTTATTTTTTACAATTGCTTTTTATTGTAAAAGAAAATTGCGCGCATTATCATTATTAGGTTTTTATTACTTTATATAAAAGCGATAAAATGTTTAAATTAATGTCAATGAAACGTGCTTTGAAAGCTTTTATACACCTCAGTACCGGCTTCAAATTTGTTGAATAAAAAGAAAAAGTATTTATATACAGTATACTATATGAGCCCTATAGATGCCAAACTCACTTTTTGCAAAAATTAAACAAATTAGATATATACGTCTATTGATTTAAATTTTTAGAAGGAATCCATTGAACCTATTAGTTTGTAGCATAAGTTACTGTATAATATAGTAAAGTTATAATAAAATGTACTGTGGGGTGCAAAACTCACGTGAGTTAAGTAAGTGAGTAAAGCGTACGCTTTACTTCTGACATTTGGATTCAAAAGTACCACTCTCATGCCAAGCGAGCCCTTTACTATATAGATTTATAGTTAAAATTCAATAAAATAAGTTACATATGTAACGTAATTTATTGAATATTGTCTATTTTAAACTAATAACCCTTATTAACCCTTATTTTTATTGTGTTTTAGATTTCATCAGTTGCAAAACTGAACTTAATTTCTATATAGTGCTATCTAGTAACAAGAGTACCTAGGTACTTAAAAAAGAATATATGTTTATGTTTATGAGTTATTTAGTTTTGGTACCTTACAATACTTTTCCCCAATATACAATAAAGAGTTTTGCAAAATTATTTTCCTTGTTAACCCCCCCCCCAAAGAAAAATTATTAACGCCCTTGGTGGTGGAAGGGGTGATTCTACGGTGAAGAGTATGAAAAAAAGTTTCTAAGAAAATGGCGTCAAAAATGCTTCATACGCCTCTTACACATTTTTTAAATGGAATTCGCAAACCCTAAAGGTATATTGTAAAAGATGGCACACAACATTTACATTTTTTTATCTCAGGTGTAACTTAATAAATTTTGGCACAGGCACTACAGTTAACAAATGCAACTTTTCTTTTGCAGACCCCATATTGATATTATCAGGGGGAACCTAAACAGGGGGTTCATGGGGCATCACGTCCCATTTCATTTTTTAAGTTACATTATTAGGTAATTTGGTTTCATCTTGAGTTTATAGGTTGATTATAGATCGATCAGGACATTAAGTTTTCCTGTTTGCATATCAACCATTTTAAGAAAAACCTTGAATATTTAAATTTTAAATTTTACTATAAATGAATTTTTGACGTATAACAAATAATAAAATTTAAAAAATTTAAACGAATGTAAATATTACCTAAATATATCAGGTACATATCTCCTTGTGTACTTACTCGTTAATATATTATGAATAGGACTTACCTAAAACAATAAAAAGTAAATTAGTAACAATTCAAAGTATTCCTTATTATGACATGTAGAATGAGAAAAATGCCCTGAAAAATGTTAGTCCCATTTTATTAAAGTTTAAATTATTTTTAGCCTTATATATTATATTAGGGGTCCACTTTATCTGTTAATATTTCAACTTAAACAAATAAAAATTGCTACCGCTCGTCTTGTTCGAGTTGAAATTTTAACACAATACACAAGTGGATAAATATAAGTACAAATAAGTATGTTAATTTCAATAAAATCCGAATTAAATTAAATTACAATTTTTTCTAAAAATAGATTTTATTTCTTTAAAATTAGGAGTTATTTGATAAATATGTATATATTTTTATGGTTTAATTATTACTATAGTACTTATAGGTAGGGGCATTTCACGCCAAGCGGGCAACTTTAAAAGCAAAGTTGTTTAAATTTGTTTATATTTGGGTATGCTGTACCCCTAAGGGGTCTTAGCATTGACATAAAACTATTTGACCCTGCGAAGCCTAGGGACCCTGCTAGGGGCTTTTACATTTTCGTCAAAACGTTGTGCATGGGGTATTTTAAAGGGGTCTAGCTTCTTGAAAAATCTTCGTAGAAAAAAAATAAAAAATCACATTGGTAGGTAATTCTATGCTCTTTTTCGTTATGCACTCAAATTAAAAATTCAAATTTGTTAAAAATGAAAAATTTTGTTTTAAAAAATTAAAATTATAATTTTTTTAATTTCGGCCAGTTTTTTTAATTTTTTTAATTGCTTAAAAATTCTCTCAAAATGTATAGATGAGGCATAGAAAATTTTGTAATGGGATGAGCACTCGTTTAAATGCTAGAGGACTTGGAGTAAACCCGCCTCAAACCTAGTGTATGCCATGGCGCGCCGCGGAGTTAGGTCCTAGCGCGTGATACACTGTTTAGTCGATCGCGCTTTTGAAAAACTTGTTAAATAAAATTTAATTATTGTGCACAACCAATTCGATATTGTTTACCTTGATTTTATTGTCCTTTTTAATATTTTTTTACCGAAACAAAAAATATAGGCATTTAAACATTCAGCATTGCATTACAATAAATTTAGTAGGTACTTACGAACCCAGAAATTTTCTTAACATTTTGGTTGTATATAATTATGTTAACAATGCTTTTTATTATGATTTAAAATTGATTGTTTGAAAATAATAATAAACCAAAATTTAAAAATAAGAATATTTAATCACAAGTCATCTATGGATAATATTCCAAAAGGATAGTTACTAGGGACACAATTGTTGCTAGAATGTTTGCTTATTTACTTTAAGTAAACAATTCATTTTATTTATTATTAACGTTTACTGTTATCTGCCTGTTCCAATTATGTCTCCAAACCCTTTGAGCTTTTAAACCATAGAAGGACTAGAGGAATTCGAAAGATTTTCAATGAAATATCAAAAAAGTGGAAAGTTTCAAATAAGAATTTTGTTTGTGGTACGTGCAGAAAACTTTTTATAAGTGAAGTGCCTCAGCCAGCATTGAATGAGCCCAACGCAGCTGCTAAATTTAGTGAAGATGAACAAATAGAATACGACCTCAAAAAAGACAGTAATTGTTATCCCATTGTTAATGCCATTAAATAAAACAATTTGCAGATTTAGAAACTTTGGAGCAACTTAACCAAAAATTTAATGATCCTTCTACACCAGGGCCAATAAAGACCATGATTCTAAGTATTGCTCCAAAATCGTGGAGCGAAAACAGGCTTGCAAAAGAGTTTGGAACATCCAGAAGGCAGGCAAAAAATGCAAAAGAGTTGGTGAAAAAAAAAGACTTTTATCTTAGAGAAGATAAGAGCCGATTAATGCCTGGTAAAAAAGATTTTGTATCCATTAAAAAGGACGATGGAAAAAGGGAACATTTGCAAAAACAATTAATTCTTTATAATGTAAAATAACTTTATGAAACTTTTAAACAGGAATATTCATATGTGAAGGTGGGAATTACAAAGTTTTTTACCTAAGCAATGTGTCATTGCTGGTGCTTCAGGGACACATCTAGTGTGTGTGTGTGCACATATCACCAAAATGTGAAGCTTATGTTGCTTGTCTTAGGGCTAACACTAAGATTCATCTCACCTCCTATAAAGATTGCCTACAAAAAATGATGTGTGCCAATCCAACTCCAGCTTGTCAATTATAAACATCGAAATCTCAAAAAAAGTTGCAAATCTTGCCCTGGTATAAGAATAATTTAAGAATGGTTTTTAATCAAATTCAAATAAAAAGTGTGACATTTGAAGCTTGGACTGGTACTGATCGCTCTTCTTTTACAACCCGAATACTACCTATCGATGATTTTGTTGATCGTCTATGCGCTGGCCTTGATGTACTAAAACCACATGCCTATATTGTGGATCGGCAAGTATCTTTTTTTAATTCATTAAAGGAAAATTTAGTTGAAGGATAAATTATGGTCCAGTGTGATTTTGCTGAGAACTACAGTTTTGTAGTTCAAGATGCTGCCCAATCTTTCCACTGGAACAACAATCAAGCCACCCCTTTAACATGCGTTTTTTACTTTAATAAAGAACGAGAAGTAAAACATGAAAGCATTGTAATGATAACTGACGACCTTAAGCACGATACTGCGACCTTTTATAAATTTCAAAAAATTTTACATAAACATTTTGAAAAGAAATGTTTCCCGGTATCCAAACTTTTTTACGTGAAAGACGGAGCATCACAGCATTTCAAAAATCGTTTTAACTTTTTAAACCTATTTTATCACAAGCAAGATTTTAATAAAGATGCGGAGTTACATTTTCATCCTACTGAAGAAGAAAATTTGTGGGTTCGTAACTACCTACTAAATTTATTGTAATACAATGCTGCATGTTTCAATGCCTATTATATTTTTTGTTTCAGTAAAAAAATATTTAAAAGGACAATAAAATCAAGTTAAACAATATCAATGTAGTTGTGCACAATAATTAAATTTTATTTTACAAGTTTTTTAAAAGCGCGATCGACTAAACATTGTATCACGCGCTAGGACCTAACGCCGCGGCGCGCCGCTGTGCGCCACTAGGTTTGAGGCGGGTTTACTCCAAGTCCTCTAGCATTTAAACGAGTGCTCATCCCATTACAAAATTTTGTATGCCTCATCTATACATTTTGCGAGAATTTTTAAGCAATTAAAAAAATAAAAAAAACTGGCCGAAATTAAAAAAATTATAATTTTAATTTTTTAAAACAAAATTTTTCATTTTTAACAAATTGGAATTTGTAATTTGGGTGCATAATGAAAAAGAGCATACAATTACCTACTAATGTGATTTTTTATTTTTTTTCTACGAAGATTTTTCAAGAAGCTAGACCCCTTTAAAATACACCATGCACAACGTTTTGACGAAAATATAAAAGCCCCTAGCAGGGTCCCTAGGCTTCGCAGGGTCAAATAGTTTTATGTCAATGCTAAGACCCCTTAGGGGTACAGCATACCCAAATATGAACAAATTTAAACAACTTTGCTTTTAAAGTTGCCCGCTTGGCGTGAAATGCCCCATATATGGGTACCTATAGGTACATTAACATGTGTTGCATATCAAAATTGGTTTTTATTAACAAAAAAATCATTTGGACACATTTTGCATCTTGTGATAACAATCTTGATCTAAATTTTTCTAAAAATGTGATTTTTTCCTATCAAAAAAAGATAGCTATCATTCCTCCTTGACTGTTAATATTATACGTAAAATAAGTTCCAAAAAATGTGATGTAAATAAATGCTAATTTTGATATCAACTTCTTAAAAATGTAGATTGGACTTTCTAGTATGTCATTAATTAAGTTAACCTTTGTATGGACGCTTTCTATAAAAAAAATATTTAATATATTGGTTCCTAAAGGAAGACTATTAATAAATGCACAAATATATAAATACTATAATATATATATACTATAGTATGAATTAATACAGTTAATAAAGCAAAAAAACGTACCTTAAAACAAATTTCTTTGAAAATCAAAATAATTATAAAAGTCAGTTAAGTTAGATAAAAAATTAAGAACTTTTATTTTCGACTAATTTTATACAAGCTCAAAAATTTATCAATGAATATCCAACAATTTTTGTAATTTTGTAAAGTCAAAAGAAGACGAAATGCTTTCTTTTAATCGGTATACTTGCAAGGCATGCCTAACACAAATCTAAATGTCTATAGAGTACATAATTTTAATAAAATAAAAGAACAGGCCCTGATGATTTACGATTTTATTTATTTAAAGGTTGCACTGAATTCCTTGCTGAACGGCTTACTTTTATTTTAATTATACCTATATAATATATATTATATGCTTCAAATAGAAGTTTTCCCAGATTCCTTAAAAATAAGTAAAATTTCTCCCATTCCTAAATCTGGGGAAAAGAATATGGGACAGAATTTTCCCAGATTCCTTAAAAATAAGTAAAATTTCTCCCATTCCTAAATCTGGGGAAAAGAATATGGGACAGAATTACATACCTGTGAGTATACTTAACTGCATGTCAAAAATTTTTGCTAATTTATGATATGCTATTTAATGAAGTTAAAAAAAAATAGTGATTTACAACACGGCTTTATGCCAAAACGATCAATGGTTTTAAATTTAATAAACTTTATGCAAGATACTAAACATTGGTTAAATTACAAAGCCTTTGATAAATTGGAATATGGCATACTAATTGAACATTTTTTTAAGTTTGATTTATATTTTACCCTATTACATATATAATATATTATATGATATGATATATTATACATACACATATATGTATATAGACATACATATCATACATAGTCATATTATGTTAAAAACAGCAAAGCATGAATATAAGTCTAAATGTTTTACGCAAAAATTAGTGCCCCAGGGATCTAATTTTTGATAGTTAATATATTAATTAGTTAATAGTTTACACGCAAACATATCATCAAAATGTTTTATATATGCTGGTGATGTAAAAATGTATAAATAAATTAATTTCATTAATGACTGTGAATTGCTACAATCAGACCTTGATCTTATTGTGAAGTGGTTAGATCAAAATAAACTGACGATAAATCCCCAAAAGTGCGCAACAATGACAAACAATGACAATTACAAAAAAACTCGTTATTACGTAAATAGGATAAAATTAAAAAAAGTGAAAAAATTCAAGGATCTAGGAATAATTGTGGACAATAAATTAACTTTTAAATATCACATTAACTCTCCATTATCAAAACTAGTTTTTATAGTGGGGAATACGCATAGACATCTACGCTTTACAATTCCATAGTACGGTTCCGGTTGAAATACGGATCAATTGTTCCTATTAGAGCTGTTACATTAATTCACTTAAAAAGGTCCACAAGAGATTTTTAAAATACCTTAAATTTAAAGAGTGCGGTTTTTCTCACTATTATTATTATAAGGGCCGGTTTAACAATGTCCAGTTAAAGTTGCAGTTAGTTCTCTGTTAGATAATTTCCATGGATACCATTGTTCTCACAACGATCGATATGAAATTTAACTGTCAGATAGACTAACTGGAACTTAACTAGAGATAAACCGGCCCTAATAGTCTTAATTTAAGACCTATTCCCAACTTACTCATACATAACACTTGAACTAAGAAGAATTAGAGCCATTATATTTCCATTATAAAAACTACTACATAATAAAATTGACAGTACCTTGCGTTACGATCGCTTTGAATAATTTCGGAGCGGAATAAATAGTTTAAACATAAATAACAGAATAAGTTTAAGATAATAATTATTATAAAATTTGTTGTTTCCTTTTTGTATATATTTATTGTTATGTATTATAATATTTTGTATTTTATCCTCATAAGTAATTGGGCAATGTCTGTTGTTAAATAAATATTATTAATTATATTATTATTATTATTATTATTATACATATGACTTTTTTAAATATTTGTTTTATTTAATTCTTAAAATATTAAACTATCAAGTAATAAATCAAAATGTAACGATTTAACCCTGCGTATTATTAATTTTATTATAAAAATTAATATAAAATAATTATTAATATTAAATTAATATTTTTTGGAAAAAATGTATTTTATTTTATTATAATTTTCTTAGTTGTCATTAAATAGTCTTAGGATGGTTCATGAAAACCCTATTTAAAATAAAAACAAACAAAGAAGTCGAGAAGTGTTAAATCACAACTTCTCGGCGGCCAACTTTGGCCTTTGCATTTATACTTTATAACTCTCGAATTAAAATCAAGCTTTGGTTTGGACACCCATAATTATAAAATTCTAAAACGTCATTTCTTCCATTCTGAAGACGGCATGCGTATACGCAATAAAAGCGAACAATTTTCATTCGTAGCGCAGGCGAACGGAATCGATCGCCATGCACGCGTCAGCATGCCCAGGTATTATTCGTGGATTAAACCGGAGCCCAGCTTCCGGATTTGCACCCGCAAAAACGTATTTTCGCCATCCAATCGCCTGTTTAGATCCACAATCGTACATCTATGTACCTACTTCTTCGCCGGAGTTTTTGACGCGCCTTAAGAGCTTTACTCACTTTTTGTAATTTTGCTGTTTAACTTTTTAATGAATAAGTTTTAAATTCATTTGTCTATTTCGATGCTACTAAGAGTTCTTAGACGCATTCTTTTCAGTGCTACAAAAAGCTTCTTAGAAGCATTTAGATTAGAGATTTTTCTATTTCAGACTGTTGGTAACCCTTTTAATTTTCATTTTAACGATGTGTTAAAAACTCGTTTTTCTGATTTTGTTTATTAAAATTATGATATAAAATGTAAATATTTGACGTTTTATTTTGAATGACATTAAATATTTAAATTTGGCATTTTGCTTCAGGTCAAATTGACGACGTCAATATTGCCCACCTAGTAACATAAATTAAACCACTTGTTTTTTTAGATTTATTTAATTTTATTGATTTATTGATGGCCTAAATGGACAAAATAGTATAAAAAACCCGTGTTACAATGACTTGTGATACTCGTATTATTATACTATAAAAGTTTACAGTATATTTTGTCGTACTCGTGCGAACGGTTTTAAAATTTCCGAAAAAATTGAGCCGGGAAAAAACAAAAAAATTGAAAAATTTTCAGAGAAATTGACGGCACTTCTTTCATTTTATTTAAAGGATAATACAAAAAGATGCAAAAGTCAATTTTTCTAAAAATTTAAATTCAGTAAGAATATTCTACCGGGTCGAAAAAAACAAACATATTAGGTGCTGTATTAACATAACTTTCGTTTTATTTGACACTTCGATTTATAAAATAATAATTTTGCAATTTAATTTCATAAATCATTCATTATTTTGTAATTGGATATTTAAAATTTTATATTTTCAATGGACTCCTTTTTGCAAAAAAGACGAAATCGACAGTATATTTAACGTTTAGGTACGTTTATTTTCTTAAATTAATTTAATTTAATTCAACGTTTAGTTTTTTACTGTAATGATATTTTTTTTATTAAAATAATGTTAAGTTGTTGATTGCCCCTGTGTATATTTCCCAAAAAAAAATACCTAAAAAAGCCACGTTTCCAAGGCCTGCGAAAAACGGAAAAAACAGGGTTTTTCCCAATTTTTCAGGTATTTTTTAAAACCCTACTCGTGCGGCAAAATAACTCGGTATAACAATAAGGGTCATTGCAACACTCGTTTTACAATATACTTTTTTAATTAATGTATTTCAAACCAGAATTGGCATAAACTAATTTAAATTAATTAATTTGTAAATTAATTCACTTATTTGAAACTTTTACTTCCTTGGAATTTAATTTCATCGAGAAACTAGTAAAACATGATGCTTTACCCCTTTAGTTTATAGGTGTAAAACTTAAATAATTATAAGAAAATTATTAAAAAAAATGACACAATCGATTTTTTTTCCAAACTCACTTGGAATTGAGTCATTATACGCTCGAAAATAATTAACAAAGTAAGGTATTGTTACACTAGTTAGTTAGAACAATATTTTGATTAATTTATAAATTATTCAAAATATTGTTCCACTAATGGAGAAGAAGAAAAAGAAGACAATTTAATTTAATGTAAACATGTTTATAAACAATAAATTACAGCTATTTTACCATACTAATAATACATATTTTTTATTTTGATTTGATTTTTTCTACTTCCACCTTTTAAACGCCCATTATTGTACATGTTTTCATGACACCAATTGATCTTTTAAATACACATTGACAAGTTGTGGCTTTATGGCCTTTTGGTCACAGGCTGAAGTTAGTTTTAAGTTAGTTGACAGTTGTCAAATTTCATACAATCGTTAAAATAAAGTGACCCTCTTGCGAAATAATAATGTGGACATTATTTTATTATCTTAATACAAAAATAAAAAGTATAAAATAGTTTCTCAACTATGCAAGTTTGTATTGAACTTTTGATTTTGGCGGCAGTAAACTAGATTTAAATGAAAGCATTAAAAATTTTGGCCCATACAACATTCTCCTCACTTTCAATGTGAAAAACGGCTTCTATTTCATCATATAAAAGGTTGTTAGTCCATTTTAAAGGGGTAAATTTCGATTCACACATACAAATTTGACATTTTGACTTGCGCCGGTAATACAGACTTCCAAGTCAGAAATTGTTACGCGTCTATTTTTGTATAGATGTCGCTTTATACAAATATTTTATATCATTTTTAGATAATAAGTATTTGTCTTAGAAAAAGTATAGTATGCAACTCGTTTATAAACGCTCATTTAATTAAGCACTCGCTCGCAAGCTTGCTCTCTAAATAAAATTAATAACTAAATTGGCGTTTATCAAACTATACATATTATACTATTAAACAAAGAAAATTTTATTAAAAGAAAAGGAAAAATAATTTAATTGAGGTTAATTTCTTCTGACAGACGTTAGGCAGTATATGATGACATAAGGAATATATATATATATATAATGATAAGTTATTATTGATAACCAAATATAACGTTTATTTTATTGTGGGAAATAAATAATATGTGCAACTCGAGAAGAATGGTCGGATTCTAAACTCGTAATCTTGCTAGGCTTGCGCATCAAATGAATGCTCGGTCACTTCCCCCACTCGTTGCACAATATACCTACTATTATTATAGCTTATTTTGACCTGTATATTTTATTCAAATACATGAAATAGCCTTAATTTATTAGATTGTATTTGTAAATTACACAGCCACACAAAAAAAAAAAAAAGTCAGATACTTTTTACGAGACATATGTATTTCTATGTATTTTGACTCACTGAATCCGAATCCGAGGTCAAAATAGGACCTTTCACGATTGGTTTTCGACATAACCTCAAAAAACCGGTTTTTTAAGTATAGAATGGCGAAACAAAGTTTCATTTTAGATTTCAAGCTGCTGAATTCATATATAGTATCAGTTTTGTGATATGACAAGAAAATCTAGAACATAACCTCAAAACATAATTGTCTGAGCAGTGCTTTGCAGGACTGAGTGAGATTTGTGTACTTTCAGGAATCGAATCCGATATGTGAGTCGAGCTGGTGTTTGTTCGTTTTGCAGTAAGTGAATTTTAACTTCTTCCACAGTAGCACATCCTTTCGGTGATAAATCAGCGAAACTTCCAGTAGTTCATCAGACAGTCTCTAGATAACACAGCAACACACAACAAAGTTTGCAACTTCTGTTGAGATGGTATTACGATTCAATTATGAATTTCCGAACTGGAGTGTTTCTCAATTTTTATCTATCTGATAGAATTCAATATCCAGTGTCATTAACTACTACTGCACTAGGTACTGGAAGTGATGACAACTGCTCTGTAGAGATGTGTAGAATGATGAAACTTAATATTGAAGTATTTTACATACATGTCCTGAATTTTTACGGTAATGTTCTTCCGATGTTTTGGGATCTCATATTTCGTACAAATATAACAAAATTGATTTTGATTGTTTTCACAAATATGTGTTTTTTTATGTTTTTTGTTTTTGGAACCATGGTTATTTTACTCCCCGCACGTTAAAGATCCTGGCCCGATCGCAGGCGAGTCCACTGTCCTGGGGGTGATAACCCTCATACCTCCCCAGGGCTAAGTATGAGGGCTTTCTGGCTTTGATAAGGACAATGTCAACTTATCGCCAGACACACTACAGCTTCATTCTCACACCTTAACGTCCCCCTACAGGGCAGCGCGCCTTCGCTGGCTTCGTTACTGACTAGGCTGAAAGGTGAATCATTCTACACATCTCTTTTCAGAGCAGTTGTCATCACTTCCAGTACCTAGTGCAGTAGTAGTTAATGACACTGGATATTGAATTCTATCAGATAGATAAAAATTGAGAAACACTCCAGTTCGGAAATTCATAATTGAATCGTAATACCATCTCAACAGAAGTTGCAAACTTTCTTGTGTGTTGCTGTGTTATCTAGAGACTGTCTGATGAACTACTAGAAGTTTCGCTGATTTATCACCGAAAGGATGTGCTACTGTGGAAGAAGTTAAAATTCACTTACTGCAAAACGAACAAACACCAGCTCGACTCACATATCGGATTCGATTCCTGAAAGTACACAAATCTCACTCAGTCCTGCAAAGCACTGCTCAGACAATTATGTTTTGAGGTTATGTTCTAGATTTTCTTGTCATATCACAAAACTGATACTATATATGAATTCAGCAGCTTGAAATCTAAAATGAAACTTTGTTTCGCCATTCCATACTTGAAAAACCGGTTTTTTTGAGGTTATGTCGAAAACCAATCGTGAAAGGTCCTATTTTGACCTCGGATTCGGATTCAGCGAGTCAAAATACATAGAAATACATATGTCTCGTAAAAAGTATCTGACTTTTTTTTTTTTTGTGTGGCTGTGTTATATTAAAAAACAAAAAGTGAATTAATTCAAAAAAGTATGAATTAGGTAATTCAAAAAGTCCGAATATTTTTATAAAAGTAATGACTAAAAATTAAAACATAAAACGAGAAAAATTAAGGTTTTAATTTTTTGACAGTAAATGCCCACAACATAATATGTAAATATTATTTTTATTAAGAATAAAAAATGTATGACAGACCAATGCGTATCTGAAGGGATTAAATTAAGCTGGGACCTGTATAATACGCATCGAAACTCATATTCCCCCTATAGGGGAAAAAGCATAAACCCTCCACGTAGCATTATAGCTCAATAGAACTTTCTTCAAAGTAAAGGTAGCTTTTTGTAAGAGGGTTTAATTACGAATTAAATTGGTTTTGCAGGAGAATGAAGGGTCCTATAGAATTTAATAAAATTCTTGATAACGATCTTCTATTGAGAGAAATCTCATTAAGACTGATTTTGATAGATTACTTTGAGTATAAAATATTAATTTCTCTAGTAAAGATACTTTTCTTAAAAGATAACTATAGTATTTTAAATTCTTGTAAGGTTTCAATTGTACACATTCATGATCTTTGAAACAAAGTCGGGAAACAAGTTCATTCAGATATATAGCACATTTTATATGATTATATTTCAAAGTTTAATAAATAAAAAGCAGCTTTTAATAATAAAGAAGGCAAAAGGTAGCTAAA